TTCAAAAGCCTCTGAATCCACTACTGTTTTGGGCTGTGAGTTCCAGACTCCCACCATATTCTGGGTGAAAATATTTCTCTTCAACTCTCCCCTTTGCCTTCTACCTCTTACCTAGGAACCAAGGAAAACAACCCTAGTCTATCCAATCCTTCCTCATAGATCACACCCTCCAACCCACGCAGCATCCTGGTCTGCCTCCTCTGCATCCTATCTAGTGCAATCACATCCTTCCTTTAACGTAACCAGAACTGCACTCAGTACTCCAGTTATGGGCTCACCAGCATTTTCTATAGTTCCAGAGTAACCTCTCTGCTTTTGTTCTGTGCCTCAGCTCATAGAGGCAAGTGTCCCATGTTCGTTCTTAACCACGTTATCTACCTGTTCTCTGACCTTCAGGTATCTGTGGCTATGCGCACAAGTTCCCTCTAATGTTCAATACTTTCCAAGGTGCTTCCATTTATGGTGTAATATGAACTCTTTTATTTTCTGCAGCAGCTTCAGTGATTTACACAAATTAAGTCTACTGCAACAAACTGATGTCTACATACCTTATCCCCAGATGTTTTGTACATGAGAACATATCTCACTTGGTAGAGTTTTTGCAGGATGAGGAAGGTTTTTCAGGTGGTAAGTGAGGAGAATTGTAATAAGGCAGCAAGGATTTGAGGTTTTTGGAAAAAGATCAAGTGAGGAGTTGAGAATTTATTGAATATGATGAGTTTTACGATCTAGAATATGCTGCTTGAGACATTTTCTTCGAATCTGTTTGAATCCATTTTCAATTAGGAATGGATAAATAGTTTGAGGGGTAACATTTGTGGGATATGGGGAAAGAACAGGGGAGCGAGACTAATTGCGTGGCTGTTTCAAAGAGATAACAATGACACAATGACTGGCCTCTTACTGTTCATTATCATTCCAGGAACTGCCTTTACCATTCTGTGATGTTGCTATGATGATCAGTAGAATCTGGCTAAATTCTTTCAGCGTACGTCAGATTGTTCACCTTTGTTACAACTGCAAGTGTGTGCTTGATGACGAAAGTCGATTTCCGTAGTAAATCATTAATAATCATTAATAATCTGAAAATTATATGATGGATTTTTCAAATAAATTCTAATGTATATAGTTGATCCCCAGCCTGGTACAATTGTTGGCACTCTTGCCTCTGAGTCAGAAAGTTGTAGGTCCAAGTTCGATTCCAGCACTTCACCATAACAATCAAGGCTGATCCTCTGTAATATTGAGTGAGTGCTGCACAGTCAGAGGTGCGTCTTTAGGTAAGATATTAAACCAAGGCCCTGCCTTCTCTTCCACTGGACTTAAAGGATCTCATGGCTGTGTTTTTAAAAAATAGTAGAGTTTACCTTAGTGTCCTGTCTGAATACTTAACCCTTAATTAGCATCACAAAGATAGATCAACTGGTTGTTTATCACAACAGTCTTTTTGGGAGCTTGCTACGTTCAGTTTCTTTCACTACAACAGTGACCACACCTTTAAAAGAACATCATTGGTTGCAAGAGATAACAAGGTGTAGAGCTGGATGAACACAGCAGGCCAAGCAGCATCAGAGGAGCAGGCAGGCAGTTCCTACTATCTTTGAAACAATCATTGGTTGCAAAGTACTTTGAGATGTCTTTGAATCTTGAAATGCACTATACCTGGACTGGGCTGTCAGATTTTCTCTTTCAAGTGTGGGTGGCATGGTGGCTCAGTGGTTAGCACTGCTGCCTCACAGCACCAGGGACCCGGGTTCGATTCCACCCTCCGGTGACTGTCTGTGTGGGTTTCTTCCGGGTGCTCCGGTTTCCTCCCACAGTCCAAAGATTTGCAGGCTAGGTGGATTGGCCATGCTAAATTGCCTGTAGAGTTCAGGGATGTGTAGATTAGATGGGTTATAGGGGAATGGGTCTGGGTGGGATAGCCGAGGATCGGTGTGGATTTGTTGGGCTGAAGAGCCTGTTTCCACACTGTAGAGATGCTATGATTCTATGAAGTGTGTTTTACCTTGTCAGAGTTGCAATGCATCTCTTTCCCCACTTTCTTTGTCTTAGATGAGTTTGGCTATGTTAAGACTCTAAATGTAGAGTGTCGTATTTGAAACAGTTCCTAGATCCATTTTACAAATAAAACAATTCATTTTATTATAAAATGTGCTGTCTGACAGTACATTTTGTTTTCTGTGAGAAATTCTTAAATTGTGTATCATTCTTAAACAAAAAATTTAGATCAGTTTTGGAGTTATAAGTCAAAGACCCACAGACATGTGTATCATTGCACTTAAATTTGTTACTATAGCATCTGAATCCATAAAATGCCATTAAATCATTTGCAGTAAGAGGAGAAAGTGAGAATTTTAACAAATTGTAATGGTCTGGAATGTGCTGCCTGAAAGGGCAATGGAATACTTCCAAAAAGGAATTATATATGTAAATTATGGAATGAATTCCACAAGGTTTAAGACATTTGGATAAGTACATAAATTAGAAAGGTTTGGAGGGATATGGGCCAAGCGCAGGCAGGTGGGATTATTGTTGGCATGGACTGGTTGGATGGAAGAGTCTGTTTTCTGTGCTGTATGACTCTATGACAGTGGAGGAAGGAGCAGATGAGCGGGCTATTGGGAAGGCTGTTTCAGAGCCCCCATACGATGGGCTGAAGGCCAACTCCTGTACTGTGGGATTCTGCAATAAGCTCAAAGGGTTTTATTCCTTTACAGAAGCCCAAGCCCCCATCCAGTGAAATTTGAAACCTGTTGTGATACTCTGCCTGTTAATATTCCACATGCCTGGTTCAACATGAGTCCCATATAACCAGAGGAGTTGACTAGAGACATTCAAGGTTACAATGACAGTCACATGACCCATATTATATACAATACAGAATATTCAGTAAAGGTTCACAGTACTCTTTGAAGCACTGCCACGGTTGTAATGTAGAACTTACGAAGAGCAATTAAACACCCACAAACAACAATGAGTGATAAAGAGCAAATCATGCATTTGATTATCTGTTTGAGTGACATTGATGGGTACATTGGAGAACACCACTGGTTGTATATGTTTGTGCCCACAGGATCTTTGTCCACTTAAGCTAGATGACCCTTGATTTAATTTGTCATCAGAAGGAGGGCACCTCTGATACCGCAGCGCTTCCTCAAGACTGACAGTGGAGTGTTAGTCCAGATACTGTATGCAAGTTCCTGGAGTGGGGCGTGGTCAATTTTCCGATTCAGAGACAGATAACTTACCAAATTGAATCACTATTGACATCTCCCAGGTTTTTTTGCAATCCTATGTTTATACAAATTGTTTCAAATGATTTTATGATAACAGGCACCACTGGACAGTTATTACGTGGCAGCAGCTTTCCCTTTGACAGGTTTCTTGCATTTTGGTCACTAAAACCATCCTCTGGAATACTTCACTGGGTTTAAAGCACTATACAATTGCAACTGTTGTAAACACGAGAGATGAGACAGTAGGCAAAAGCTGTAACATGTTGCTTTAATGTCAGCCATCTTGCTTAGAGGAAGGAAAGAAATATAAATATTTGATTTACACTCAAACACTAACAAAAGCTTGTTCGTATCAATGATGACAATTAATTTGTGTATTTGCATGGTATTTAGTCAAATGTCATTTCTTTTTGCTTCAAAATGATTTCTTTTCCTTATTAAAAAGAAAGGTAATTTGTTACAGGAAGGAACACCACAGACGCCAGTATCCCATCCCACACTCGCTGTTTATTTACATTTGCATCGTACTTGATGCTCGTCCAGCTTCATCAGAGCCAGTTCTGAGTGAAATGAGCCTCTGATTCTCCTGTTTACATCTGTCAGCCAGGGCTCCCTGATTGGACCAGATTAACAAGCCCAAATGGGGAACTCACATTCTGAGGTCCACCTGACTGAACTTGTTATAATCACTGCACTACATTTCCTAACTATGGCTTAAAAGCCCTTAATGTTTCTCAAAGAATTTCAGATTTGTCATGACTACAAAACCAAATAAGCTAGGGCCCTTCTCTCTAGAAGACATAAAAGTTGATCAAGGTCTTAATTTGGCGACACGGTGGCACAGTGGTTAGCACTGCTGCCTCACAGCACCAGGGACCTGGGTTCGATTCCAGCCTCGGGCGACTGTCTGTGTGGAGTTTGCACATTCTCCCCGTGTCTGCGTGGGTTTCCTCCAGGTGCTCTGGTTTCCTCCCACAGTCCAAAGATGTGCAGGTTAGGCGGATTGGCCATGCTAAATTGCCCGTAGTGTTCAGGGAGGTAGAGGGTGTATATTAGGTGGGTCATAGGGGGATGGATCTGGGTGGGATGCTCTGAGGTTCGGTGTGGACTTGTTGGGCTGAAGGGCCTGTTTCCACACTGTAGGGATTCTAATTCTAATTCTATAAAAGACGGACATAGACAATAGGTTAGTGAATTCAGGAGATATATCTTCTAGGGAGAATTGAGAACGTGGAACTCACTATCACAGGGAGTGCTGGGGGTGAAAACTGTAGTGTGTGGTATATCGTATACATTTATGGGCAATTTGGATAAGGACACAAGGAAGTAATAGAAGGTAAAGCCGGTATCACGAGGTAAAGTTGGATGAGAAAATATTTCCATGCATATAAACACCTGCATAGACTGCTTGGCTGATTGGCCTATTTCACACTGTAGCTTCTGTGTCAGTTTTCATTTCACATGCAAACACAACATACACGAATTTTCACCTGAAAGCAATTTGCACAAATGTTTGATGAATGAATGTTTTTATTGTTATAAGATCTATAAATTGCTTTTTTAATTTCAAGGATTGTTTTCTGTTTAATCTGTTTTTGTGAAGTTTGTAAACCAGTCCTAAATTGCTACCCATCATAGAGGAGAATTTCAAAGAGGAAGTTTTTGAGAACTTGAAAGATAACCACCAATTCAAATGTCAGGTTAAACAGTTTGAACGTGCTCTGGGATTCCAATGTTCTCCTCTTGTTCATTCTCCCACAGCTCTGCTACCCAAGTGGAATTTGCTTGCCCATCTTGGTTCTTTCAATGGTTCCAGGTATGACAAACCTCTGTATTAAAAGTCAAATTCTTTTCTACAAATCCTTCCATGACTCACCTCTTGTTATCTCTGTAACCTTGTACAAACCTCTGAAGTTATATGCACTCATACAATTCTTCATCCCAACTCATCTCATCAATGGTGTCTTGCCTCTAGCTACCTGGGCCCTAAGATCAGGAGCTCCCTTCCTAAACCCCTCTCCTTATCTCTCTTTGTTTGTGCCTTTCCAAATGACACTTGCTCATGCAGATTAATACAAGACTAAGTTATAGTTTATTCAAGCAAATGGATATTACAAGCATTTACAATTGGTACAGAATACAATCCATTAAGATGCGAGTTGATCAGTCTTTGCTTCGGGGTTTCTGATTTGTCATGGATGTGTGACTCAGCTCTTTTTCAGAGTGCTAGGTTCTCATTATCAACTTTTTGATTTTTGGCTGGCGGTGAAATCCTATTTCCAAGATCCACTCCTGATGCTTGCTCGTCTTCAGCTGGTTTGTTCCAACTCTATTCTTTCTGCAGTTTTCTCATGCTGCAATTTCAGTACGTTCCATTCTTAGGCCAGTTTCTGCATCTTCCAGGCTCAGCATGGGTTGACCATTTTACTTGTAGTTCTTATATTTGGTCAAGTTGTTCGAGTCCATGAGTCTACATTCTATCTCTGTCTCACCACATTAAGTACGCTACTGATAAAACCTACCTCTGGACCAAGCTTTCTAACATCGACTCTAATACCAACTTATGTGATGTGGCGCAACATTGTGACTGATGATGCTCCTATGAAATGCCTTGGGGAATGATTACAGTAGATAAATGCCAACTGTTATTTTTAAACACTTGTAGTAATAGAAAATGTTGGAAGTCCTCTAACCTGCCTGCATCTGTGGAGAGGTAGAAACAAACTTTCAGTGATTGTGTATCAAACCTCAGCCTGAAACATTTACTCTGCTTCTCTCTCCACACGTGCTGCTGGACCTGCTACTTATTTCCAACATTCTCAGTTTATGCCTAGAAATTCCAGCATCCATGGTATTTTTCTTTTTGTTTTGCATTATTAATACCTCTGCTAAACCTTTCTGTGAGGTACGCCTATTTGCCAGTTTCACATGTACAAATTTTCACTCCTTACCAAAAACACAATGTAGCAGATGATGAACAGTAATCAAATGGTACTTGTACAGCATATCCCCCCAAAGCAATATGTAGTGTTAAGCTTTCTAATTCACTTTGGTAAATATTCATACATTTTTAACATTACTAATCTAGTAAAATAACCTACAGATGCAGCTCGGAGACAAGAAGATGTAGAGCTGGATGAACACAGCAGGCCAAGCAGCATCATGGGAGCAGAAAGCCTGACGTTTCGGGCCTAGACCCTTGTAGCTGATGAGTTGAAAACGTCAGTGTTTTTTTCCTTACACGTTGTCACATGGCTCTATTTCTTTGAGTGGGCTGCACTGTAAGAGCATGGCAAGGCATTAGTCATATTGGTGCTGTTGCTGTGTAATTCCAGGGGCTGGATTGAATGACGTGGGACTATTTGCCTTAAGATTTTCTACATAAATATGTGTCTTTAAAACAGGTGGAGGAAAGAGTGATTGTCAGTTCTGTCAAAAGGAAATCTTTTTGGTATTAGTTGAAACACTTCCTCCAGTAATGATAATGAAATATCAGTGGTGCTGGATATCATGATTTATAATGAGATAGTAAATACTGGAAATAAGAGATTGATGTTTGTGAGCCAGTCACATTGGGATTTGAATGGTAAGTGTCTGGTTTAAGGATTTTTTTTTACGGAACTGAGACAATGTATTATATGTTGGTTAGCATGCAAAAAAGCAGCTGAGCAGAAACCAGTGGCATATATCATTACCTAGTATGAGTCATGGATGCAGCTGTAGGTGTATTTGATGGTGCACTTCACAAAATCGGCATGTGATTGATCTTCCTCTTCAGATGTGATGTACTGAAATGGCTTCACCTTTTGGTCTATTCTCTCAACGACTTGAGAAATCTGCATGATGGCACAAGGTGTTTCTAAATTGTTATTCATCTGGGTTGTGGTGTGTATCATTCAGATTATCAGTCCACCCAAGCATATGTAAAAGTTGTTCAGATCTGAATAACCAGAACGCCGTGAATTCAGCCCAGTCAACGTTGTAACAGTGATGACACTCCTAAAAGTATTGTTTGCTGTGAATCATTTTGCAATACTGTGAGTTCAAACAATTTAATTTTTTTTCCCTAGTAACTATTCCAACAACTTTCCCATTTGTTTATTTCCGTGTAGATCATATCAGACTATTGCACTGAGAAATACAAGGGAGAGTTTATAACCTATTTCTGTGGAAATTGATATTTTCACACACACACACACACACACACACACACACACACACACACACACACACACACACACACACAATCCCTACAGTGTACAAACAGGCCCTTCGGCCCAACAAGTCCACACCAACCCTTGGAGCATCCCACCCAGACCCATCCCCCTATAACCCACCTAATCTACACATCCCTGAATACTACAGGCAATTCAGCATGGCCAATCCACCTGCCCATATTTGTTAACTTAACTTTGATAAAAGGCCATTTCTATTCCCAAAAATTATCTATAACCACCTGATGAATGATTAAGTGACTGTGTTTTGAATGCAGGTTGGCTCTCCTGGTCTTGAGATTGATTTAGTAATATCCTTTCTGTGTGAGGCTCTGGAGCACAATCACAGTCTAGAAATGAATGTTTGGCCTTTTAGGACAGAGATGAAAGAAATTTCTTCCCTTGAAACATTGTGAATCGTCTGCACCAGAAGCCTGCGGATGCTGAATTGAAGATGTTCAAGACAGATTGGTAGATTTGAAGGGAATTGAGGGACATGGGATGTTTGGGAAGATAAAATTCGGGTAGGAGATGATGATTTTCATGGATGGTAGAACAGGATCAAAGGGCTGAATAGTCAACTCAGTCCTGTGTTTTTTTGTATTCTAACAACATCACCTCCCATTCCTTGTTCATAGTTTTTCTTTTGAAAATTTGAATGCACTTGATGCAGACACTCAAAAGATATATGCAAGCCTTCAGCAGGACCTGGAAATGCCAAGATTGGGTCGACAATTGGCAGGGAACAGCAATTCTCATCAGGATGATTCTCGATCTTCTGGAGCGCACCATTCACCAGAAACTTAATTGGACCAGCCATATCAATAATGTGGCTGCAAGAGCAATTCAGGAGTTGGATATTTAAATGAATGCCTAACATTCCTAACCCCTAAATTCCTCTTCTGCATACACAAGTCGAGATGTGATGGAAAACACAACTGGCAACAACAGTGAAGAAGCTTGCCACTATCCAAGGCAAAACAGCTTATTTGACCAGCACTCTGACTGAGCCCTACATCCACCACTAACAAACCATGTCCACAGTGTGGTCTGCTGGATGCAGTGCAGTAACTTTACCATCTCCCAGCCTCATGAACACTACTGCTGAGGAGAACAAGAGCATCATTGCCCGAGGGGTCCAGTCACCTCCCAAAGGTACCCTCCGTGTCACATTATCATCCTAACTTGGACACAAGCTTCCATTTCCTTCATTGCCGCTGGTCAAAATTCCTGAAAGCAGTTGCCTCTTGCCACCGAGGGAGAATGGTCAGGTCAAGAAATTTAAAAGGAAATTACAGCCCTTTCTAAAGCCAATTCAGCTCAACTGGGCTGGATGGAAGGAAAAATATATTGTGTAGTCCAAGTGTTGTGGGTTCCTATTGCAGAAGGCATCACTTTATGGTTATCCTGGACAGAGAATTTACTGAAGTAATTATTTGTTATTCATCAAGCATGGAAAGAGCCAATCCAGTAAGAAAACCTTGGCATTACTTTGTCCTCATTTGAAATCAACAGATGAAGTATTTGCAGTTGGAGTGTAAAAAGACAGTTTTAAGAACTAAGAAGGATGAACAACTTGTTCAAGTGATTTTGCTTTTCTTCAGCGCACACTAAATTTAAACTGTTCCTTGTGAAGTTGTCTTTCAGTTTATATTGCTTATTTGGAAACTTGTTAATGATTTCTGAGAGTATTTCAAGGCACCTTTGTACTTTTTTTTTGCCACATTGTTTGAAGAAGTTTGGCATCTTTTTTGCACCTCTTGTATTGCCTGAGAACTATAAATCATACAATTTGTTACCCACAGTTCAGTGTGATTTGGCTATTTGAGAAAAGGTGTTGAGTGTTTGAGAAGTTGTTTTAATGCTCGATGAAACTTTGCAGAACACAACAATCTACAGTACAACCGAATGCTCAAAAAAAAATTTTGTATCGAACTGTTGAAATTGGATTACAACTTCGCTTTGGTGAACAGCGTGGGTAATTTAACTATTTAACATGGCGTCATAATCTGATTTTGAGTCGGGTTTTCTTCAGATACTCTACTAAATAGGACAATCAGTTCTCAAATTTCAGGCACTTTTTCTTTCTTTCGGATACTTTGTCAAGCATATAACTTTTTTCTGTGCCATAATTAGGATGTTTCCGATGACTGGAGAGTGCAGAACCAGGGGTCACGGTCTAAAGATACGGGGCTGGCTATTTAGGACAGAGGTGAGGAATTTCTTCACCTAGAGTGTGAAGAGCCTGCGAAATTCTGTCACAGAAAGTGGTTGAGCCCGAAAGATTGAAAGTTTTCTAGTAGGAATTAGTTTTTTTTAAAGGTTGTAGGGGTCAAAGGGTATGGGGAGAAAGCAGGGTCAGGGTACTAAGTTGGATGATCACCATGGTCATTTGAATGACAAAGCAGGCTCAAAGGCCCATATGGCCTACTCGTCCTCTTTCTGTAATTCAAAGAACGCAAGTTTTATCTAAAAGATGCACATTTGAAGTGGATTATATAAGAAATCTGTAGCAAAACATTACTACAAATCTGTAGTCCTGCGTCTGTTCACATTCTCCTTTTTGTTGGAGAACGGTTATGTCACATTTTAATCCCTGAAGATCATGTGATTTTAATCCCTGTTAGAGTTTGGTGACTTGTCTTCATTTGCTGAAGAATCTAAGATTTATTGAATTAGTACTTTACAATCCAATGGCCTTTCATTTCACTTTAAAGGTAAGGCATGCATTTCCTCTCAATGAACGCATAACTTATTCACGCTCCCTTTGTTCTGCCTGATGTCCTGATACAGTTTAATTGCTTCAACAAATGTGATTTGTGTTCTCCTGAAAGTTTAATCATTACTCCCAGAGAACTAATAATGAGATAAAACATATAATAACGTATATGGGGGCAATATGTTAACCAAGAAATCCTGTTACTGTAATTAAACAACAGAGTTTAAATGACCCTCTTGTGTTCCAGATTCTAGTCTTTAGATAGCAAAGGAGTGAAGACAGTTTCACAATCGGGGTCTCAAAGGGACAAGTAAACTGTTGAAAGTAAACAATAACAAAATTGGCAATACGTGTTTCATTTAGCAGAGTTTGTTACAATCATTTTAGATACAAAAACATGCTTTCATAATCTGTAATATTATTTGGAATGATTTTGAATATCGGTCATGGTGTGTTAAGGTATCCGTATGCATTGTGCCGGAAGCATGCTGCCTGATGTTTGCTGTTGTACTTTTCTGTGTGGAAGACAGATATCTATTGCTGGTCAGAATGCAATGATGGCTGCTTGAATCCTCACCAAGTACGTTGATTTCACTAGAGAGCAACCCTTCTGGGTAGGGTGAATTTGTAGGTCTGTCAGTACACAGAAGGAGTCCATTGGCTTAATGTGCCTGAACTAGCTCTGTGAAAGAGCCATCCAATTAGTCCGACATCCCTCCCCCCTCCAACTCTTTGTCCCTATGTGGAACTTTACAATTGTCCCTGAGCATTTATTCAATCCTTCATTTTGAAAGTCAGAATTTAATGTGATTCTCTCCCTTTTCAGGCAGTACATTTACAGGTAGGTTGTCAGAACCATTGCATAATAAAAACATTCTCCTCAAAGGTCATTGACGTAATTGTGACAACACATTTTTCAGAGAACCAAGCTTTTATAGTAATGTACATGACCAGTCAAAATCTCAAATAAAAATAGAGATATAAGGGATGACGGATATTTCTCTTCTCTCTCATAATTCCTTAGCATTCAAATTAGGGCAATTGAATACTTGGAAGTTTTTTGATGTCACATTATAAATTTAACATTTCCAATGAAAGATTACTGACAATTCTAGCTTTAGACATTATATACCTTACAAGTATTAAGCAATTTTTGCTTTGTCACTTACTGATAGCTACTTATTGTATTTTTGATGCAATTATTTTTAAATGTTGCCTTTTAAAAAAAATTCATTGCTTTAACAACAATGTGAGACTTGGAACAAAATAAGAATAATCTTCATATAAATGATCAGTCATTTGTGTTCCTACTTGGACTGTAGGAAATGTCGTGCAATATCATATCCTTGAATTTTATTGTTGAAATATTGGAAACCCTTCAGTGGAGCAGCATGCTGTGACCCAACTTTTGATATTGACTGCTGACATTTCATTGCCTTTCAACTATCTGCTTTTCAACCATTTCCCTTTCAAATTTATTTCAAAGTTCACTACTTTTCTTGACATTTTCAGATGTGACCCAAGTTCCCTAGCAATTCTATTACTTTTTAGCAAAAATGCTGAGGAGGAGGCAGTCATAAATGTTAAATGCTAGTGAAAATAAACTTCTTCCTACAGGAGCGTTCTATAGAGTGATAACTACTTGCTGCGTAGAAACAATGCCTTTGTTACCTCCAGATTCACCTTTTCCAATTCCACTGTTCTTCTGACTGACCATCCACCTTCTGACCTTCATAAAGTTGAGCTTATTCAAAACACTTTTACCTGTGTCCCAACACTCACCAAGTTCTGCTCATCCGCCATTGATTCTGTTCTATAGTTGATATTGGCTCCCAGACTAGTAACTTTCTCTTTTTTTAAAAATTCTCTTCTTTCCTTTTCAGATCCCTGCATGGCTTCATCCCTCTTGATTGCTATAACGTCCTTTTCATAATTCCGTAATACCCTGAGATTTCTGCATTTCTCCAGTTCTGGCCTTCCATGCGATCCCCCTCACAATTGGCACTTGTGCCTTCAGCTGTCTGGACTGTGAAATTTCCTTCCTAATTCTCTCCATCTCTTTCTTTTCTGTTAAAACCTACATCTTTGACCAACCTTTCAGTCACCTATCCTAATATTTCCTTGTTTAAGTTAATATCAAATCTGATTTGTTCCTGTGATGTGCCTTAGAATATTTTACTGCATTGAAAATACTATAGAAATGTACATAACTACTGTACAGATCTTGTAACAATTCTCACACGTGCCTTATTTTCATCAGCATGTGCAAGAACTACATACCCTGTCAGTGAAGGAGCCCATCATGAACAGCTTCAGATGACTTTGTAACCCCTTTGTCAACAAAGGTAACAAAAGAATTGCATTTCTATTCTGGGGTCTGGAGCTAAGCAAATATGTATACGGAAAGAAATTAAAAAGTTTAATATCTGCATGCATTTCCTACGAACTTTTCTTTCCCATGAGAAATATCAATTTAAACATTTCTGTTAGATGAGACTTCTGGAAAGTTGCCACATCGATAGTGACAGAAAAGAGAGTGCTTTCCAGGGGACTGTTTGGGACAAACTTGCCCAATCAAAAACACAACATGAAGATTTAGAATTTTTTTACAATAAGAATTAGATTTTATTGCCCCATATACTCAAGAACAGGGATACAGGAATACAATAAAAGTGTCCAAAGTCCCCATTCCTGGTACCATCTTGGGTACAAAGGTACTTGGGTACAAAATAATAAAAAAAATTAGAAGTTCAGCATTACCGTCCTTCTTTAGCCATGGGCCTGCAGGCACTCCAAATTGGGCTTTCCCCATGAGGGCTCACTGTCCCCACTAGGGATTGATCTCTTTTCTCCGCCCCAGCACTTCAGTGTGTTACTGAGAGAATGCTGTACTGTTGGTGCTATTAGTAGGAGGTTAAACATCGGGACTGCACTAACTCCACCACCACCACCTTGGATAGCTATAAAAGGTCCCAAAATGCACTCTTTGAAGAAGGGCATTAGTGGTTCTTCCTGACGGCCTGGACTATATTTATCCTTCAATTAATAGATAATCTGGATGTTATCTCACGAGGATCAAAGGGCCTGGTAAAAATTGGGCTCCTCATCAGGACTCTGGCGCAATGTCCAAGCCTGAACTCTACATTTGTTAATGTTTTGATCACTTGGGTTGTTTGGTCCCAGCTACCAGTGATTCATGGAGTTCCCGAGAAGTTGTGACTATAGAATGTGTTCAGTGATATGACCAGTTTCTCTTCTCATCTTTTCAAGTGGAATAATGTTTTAAATATGTCCCTTCCTTTGGCCTGCCTGGCTGTTTGAAGCTGCAAGTTAAGTCAGTCAGTCCATCTTGGAATGAATGACTGACTGACTGTTTTCCAAGTTTTTTTTGTGGTTTGGTTGAGAAGATTAGATCACAAATACTGTTTTGTTCCTAAAGAAGTTCAAACCGACCACTGCCAGGGCACAATTTAATGCTGCCCCCTTTAGTGAATTTGATGTCAGATAGGGACCCTGTTGTGTTTCCAACTCTGGCAGGAAAGCAGGGGAGGCCCTGGTAAGAACTGCCTTCCTGCCAACCCTCTCTCCACCACAACCACCACCACCGTCACCACTGCTCCATGCCCCTTCGCCATCTGCCCCAACCCAGTGGTGGTGCTGCTGGTGAGCAATGAAAAGCTGCTGCTGGCCTCTGCCAGCTGTTAGTGGCAGGACCTGCATCCCTGGGGGCCTTGATCTCCGAGATGGCCGGCTACTACTCAGTTTTAATGCAGTGGGCCTTTCTGAAAAGAGACAAAGTTGGGCCCCTGTCAACTCTTCGGGCATCAGTTGAGATCCCCATCACCTTAATTAAATATAGTCCCAAGTCTCTACTCTTCAGGAATCTAGTTTTGGGAATAATAGCCTGGAATCTCTGCTCTCAAAGCCTATGGCTTTCCAAGGGAAGCAGTATGCCAACTGTGTACTTTTATATGCCAATGAATAAAACTTTACAGTGACTGCTGATACATGTATTTATTTCTCATAAAATATAATTTAAAATAAATTAAACATTGTGTTTTTTAGATGACTTCCACGACTGAAACCAGAACCACTGCAGTTCGGCAAAATGGGCACAGTGGTGAAGGCAACTCTCGGGAAAAGACTTACAAAAAGGTAAAACTGTCATTGCTGACCTTGTGTACATAACCACACTCTCCTTGCATTTGTGTCAGGTATGGAGATTTAATTTCAGCCATTCAGATTTATGATTTGTCACGTCTCCTCCATGAGAGGAAAGCAGGGGAGGGCCTGGTAAGAACTGCCTTCCTGCTAACCCTCTCACCACCACCATCACCACTGCTCCATGCCCCTTTGCCATCCACCCCAACCCAGTGGTGGTGCTGCTGGTGAGCAATGAAGAGCTGCTGCTGGCCTCTGCCAGCTGTTGGTGGCAGGACCTGCATCCTTAGGGGCCTTGATCTCCGAGATGGCCTGCTACTACTCAGTAGGGACAAAACTAATTATTTGTTATCACATAAAAATGAATAGTATCCTTCTGTTGAGTAGGAAGCAGGCTTCTTCACTGTATTAAATAGATTATTTTCAAAGAGGTGGCTAAGCCTCTTTCGATGAGGTTTGTGGATGTAATGCATTTAATGTTTATTATATGTTAGTTGTGGCTAGCCCTATGAAGTGAAGATGCATTTTCATCCCTTATAAATTAACACCACCCCAAACCTCTTGTATAAGAGGTTTTTCTTCTAATTTATAACCCCTGTCAAAAAGAAAACCATAGTATGAAAATATTGACTTCAGTTCTGTCCTTCACCATTTGACTTACAGGGGTAGAGCATTTAGTTGTTTTGTATGTTCTTTTTTTCTTCAAGGTTGGGATTTGAAGGGGTCTGGTCAGGTAGTTTAAACTTCTTGGTTCATGAGTAGAATGTTCAAGATCAATGCATCATTGCTATGGCAAGGATTCACACTCAATCACAGTTATGTGACTAGAATGTTCTGTATTTTCTGTTGTTGCAGAAACTTCCAGTGATTTTGTTATGATTATAAATTATTTTGCTTTTAAACAGCCTTGTTTGATGCACAGGGAAGGTTACACAGAAAGCATGAGTTGTTCTATTGTTATTTTTGATGCAGACACCATCATCTGCACTTCAAGGCTCCATCCAACTTGGAATAGGATACGCTGTTGGGAACCTCACATCAAAACCAGACAGGGATGTGCTTATGCAGGATTTCTATGTTGTGGAGAGTGTCTTTCTACCAAGGTTGGGTTTTAGTTTCTTAAAATCTTTCTATCTTGAAACATTTCTACATTTATCTCTGAAATTTGATAATATGTTACATTGGAGATATCTTGAATGTATGATGGCTGTACAACAAGAAACCTTGAGATTATTAATGACACATGTTCTTTGTTTGATTTTGCAAGTGGAGTTACTAATTTTGTTGTATAGGGAATATATCCTGCCTATAACCTGGAGGTCGTTTGTATATTTGGAAAATGTCATTCACAAATTGTTGCGTTAAATTTGCTTATCAAAAGACAGACTTGAGAACAATTAGTTCATTTTGCATCACATGAAAATTCCAACTGGAAATAAGCCATTTAGTTCAGTCAGTCCATGTTGATGAGTATCTTCCGTGTGGTCCGTGGCCCAACCCTAGTACTTTTTGCCTGTCTAACCTAACCCTAATACGGTAAACACAAGAGTAAAGTATTTTGATTAAACTGAAAAAAAGACTCTGCAGAAGATTTTACAAGTAACAGCCCATCAGCTTACCATCAAACACACACTGTCCTTTTCAATTATGCAAAACTTTAAACATTTTCTAGTAGTGGGAATTGGAAGTACCACTCTAATCACAACACACGCCAAATCCACATCTGTGCTTTCACAATTGGAGGCAATGCCCCTGTTTAAAGGTGAAGAGCAGCAGCAGAAAGCTCCACAAATTGACATGGAACCAGCCAGATTCCCTGCATAAGAGATAGTAGGAACTGCAGATGCTAGAGAATCTGAGATAACCAGGTGTACAGCTGGATGAACACAGCAGGCCAAGCAGCAGCATAGGAGCAGGAAGGCTGACGTTTCGGGCCTAGACCCTTCATCAGAAATCATGTGTTCATCCAGCTCTACACCTTGTTATCTCAGATTCCCTGCATATGCCTTCTGTGCGTAGGGTCCCTGTTGAAATGAAAGGAAGGTTGTTTTGCAAAAATGTCATGAGGGCACCCATCTTGTAAAGCTTTTTTGTTTCATTAACAGTTTTAGCAGTTTGTCCTTCAAGGTCCTGCCGCTTTAGGCAACTATTCCTCTTATCCCATAATAAGGTCTCCCAGAAGTTTAGTCCTATCTATATATTTAACCTAATTTATTACTGAAAGGAAAGTCATGTTGCCAAAGCATTTCCTCTTGCACAAGTCAGGGCAAACACCGGTCAAATTTCAATTGACGCAACAATTTGTACTGTATGAGAGAAAGGTGCTGATTGGTTGCTAATTAGACTCTGGCTCAGGCCCTCCATGGAGATAGCAATGGGGAACCACGGATTCCACAGACTCCCAGATCATTAATAGAAGACACAACGCTTTAATATAAACTGTTTCTTTGCAGAGAACAAGTCCCTTGCATTTCAACGTACATCCTTTCAATCAGAAATGAGCCGAATTGTAAATTTTAAATTGTTAGTGTAATAACTAGTGAACTCTGGATTGATTAGTAGGTGCTGCCCAACTGCAAAATCCTATTGAATATTTTACTTTTGGTTTCTCAAGTTGGGGGCTACATTGAGTACCATCTGTCCTCCGCCCATTGCAAAAAAAAAAGTTCTGTGCAGGTTAATTCAATCAACCTGTCGTTTGGGGACATGGACTACTTACCTGGAATTGCATCAGCACCTGGCTCGTTTCTTTCTCCATTTTTGAATGTTTTGGTCTCTCACCTAGCTTACATAGACAAGAACTTGTACTCATTTGGCCCCCTCCTGCTTCGGCATAAAGTGCCAATGGACATACTGCCTACTCTACTCTACTGTATTTTTCCCCATTTACTTTGGCATGGTGTCTTCTCTCACTAGTCTTGTCCAATCTCTAACTGCAGTCTTTTTGAATGTGGATTTTGCAGCAATTTTAACAAGAACACAAGTTCATTAAAACACAACAGAAGAGGAGAAACTAAGTTGCTTATTGATTCACTTTCTCACCTCTCTCTCCCGGGCACTGCTTCTAATATCTCTTCACTTGGCTGTTTGCCCATTTTCCTGATCTTGCCTCTGTATTAAAGGTGTGATTTAAATGCATGTGGTTGTTTTTTGAGTTGCACTTAGATATTCAAACTCTTCATCTTGAAGGCAAAATGGTGACAGAAAACTGATTGTTTGTACTTGTGTCACATTCATTTTTAAAATATCAAAACAAAGCCATTGTAAACACGATCAAGGCCTTGTCCAATATTTCGCTTACTCATGATTGGAGATGGATGCATTTACATAAATGTTGGCTTAAAGAAATTTGATGTACCATGAGTATTTTTTGTTTTTGATTACAGCACTTTTTTTTAAAACCAGAGAATAAAAGATGCTGTCAATGCTAGGACCTGTCTCTGAAAGTTCTTGTAGATGTCAGAGCTCTAGCAAAGAAGGGCAGTGAAAATTCAAAATCTTTGTGGCATAGAAAGAAAACTAGGATTGCATTTATCTCGCACTTTTTGTGACATCACGCATGCTTCCAGGGTGTTTGAGAGCCAATGTGATACGTTTGAAGTATAGTCACTGGCTGCAACAATTATTGCAGAGCAAGATCCCACAAACAATATAATATTCATTACAGAAAATGTGACATTTTTTGAGGGATAAATGCTGACCAAGACATTGAAGAAAACTCTTCTACTACTTTGAATTAGTGACCACTGGAGCTGTTGTGCTGACTAGAAAGGACAGAGGGATCCTCTGATGAATGTTCCATCTAAAGAGCAGCAGCTTTGACAACTTAGCACTCCTTCAATATTGCAGTAGATTGTGACGCTTTAATATAATGCAATTTGACTGACAGGAGTTTCTAAAACATCTGGAATGAGTAAAATTTACCATTTCTTTCAGGGAGAATTGATTGACAAATCAATCAATACTATCACCCTGGAATGGGTGTGTTCTTGTTTCTACAAAACATCTTCCAGTTCTGGTGCACTGCTTGTTTGGGAAGATGTTGATTAATGTTTTATATTGAGAGGACTGGCCATTTATTCCAAGCAGGCAGAGACCGGAGAAAATGGAGAAGGATAAGCTTCAGGGGAACTGGAAGCAGAGGAGGAAAGGATATTTCTGGCTGATTCAAAATTAGGGAGGGAATTAATGGGAAGAGGGAATATGTGAATTGGTAATTGGTTAGATATCCTGCTTTGTCTCAAAATTCACTTGAGGATCAAATGAGGCTGAATGGATTGAACTCAAACAAGCAGCCACACTACTAGATGTAAAAAAAAAATGAAAGAACTGCAGATGCTGTAAATCAGGAACAAAAACAAAATTGCTGGAAAAGCCCAACAGGTCTGGCAGCATCTGTGAAGGTAAAAAACAGAGTTAACGTTTCGGGTCTGGTGACCCTTTCTCAGAACACTACTAGATGTGTATGATAGACCTTTAAATATGGGGAGAATGTTCGAGAAACAAATATGTCCCCAAATTTCTGAATGCAGAAACAATTGGGTAATAATAGTTGGAGACTTCAACTACGAAAATTTCAACTGAGATACAAACTGTGTGAAAGGCACAGAGGACACAAAATTCATGAGTTGCATTCAAGAAAACTTTTTTAGCCAGTTTGTAACAAGCCTAATGAGAGAGCTGCAGGTCTAGATTTAAACTTAGGAAATCAGACTGGGTCAGAGGATGAAATAGAAATGGGTGACTGTTTGCAGATAGTGATCGTAATAATATTAGATTTAATGTCATTTTGGAAAGGGACAAAGATGGAACAGGAATAAAAGTTCTAAATTGGGACAAGGCAAAATTAGTGAAGCTGAGAGATAATGTAGCAAAAATGGACTGGTCACAGCCTGTTGAAGGAAAATCAGTAGCAGGCAATGAAAAGTGAGATTCCATCGGCTCAGTAGATAGGTGCCCACAAAGAAAGCAGGTGATGCTGTCAAATTTAGAATCGCACAGTTATCCGGTGCCATAAAGCAGAAAAATAGTGAGGGATGATCACAAAAATGAAGTAATACTTAGGTAGCTTAGAGTGTAGAAAGAACAGGGAGAAGTTTTAAAAAAAAAAAAAAATTAGGAAAGCAAAACTAGGACCTGAAAAAATGTTGGCTGGTAAAATTAAGGAATGTCTAAAGATGGTTTATTAGTACATTTAAGAGCAAGAGGATGATGAAGGAAAGGATGGGGTCTGTCAGAGATTTGCATGGATGCTGATGGTGTATGCAGGATTTGTGATGAGTACTTTTGAGTCTCTTCCTTTAAAAAGGAGAGGGATTATACACTTTTCCTAGTTAAAGAGGAGGACTCTGGAACATTAAAGAAAAAGAAGCGTAATGAGATGGAAAGTACCTGGGGGACTGACCACCTTAAAGGTGGATAAATCCTTAACTCCAGATGAATTGTTCCTTAGGCTTTTAAAGGAATCCAGGAAGGAAATGACATACTCGGAGAATCATTTTCAAATCCTCACTTTATACAGGCAAGGTATCAGAGGATTAAAGACCTCTGAACATCATACTCTTATTCAAAAATGGTGCAAGAAATAGACCAAATAAGTATAGGCCAGTCAGTCTGATCTCAGTGGTTGAACAAATTACTAGAATCCATATTGAGAGGCAGATTAACTCTTTTCTAAGAAAAGCACCGATTAATCAAGTATGGTCAGCATGGTTTTGTTAAGGGGAGGTCATATTTTACTAAATTGAATTTGTCAAGGAAGTAACAAGTTGGGTAATTGAGGTTGTGTCTGCATGAAATTTTGTAAGGCATTTGAAAAGTTGACGCATGGCAGATTGATCAGAGAAACTAAAGCCCATAAGATGCAGACAGGGAAACCAGGTGATATGGGACAAAAATTGGCTTAGTGACAGGGGGAAAGAAAGGAGAATGTTTTTAAGAATAGAAAGAGTTGATGATATGAAGGGAATAGCTGGTTATGTTAATTTTGTTGAGTAGATGGAAAAGTGCCAAATAGTATTCAATGTAGAGAAGTAAAGTTATGTATTGGGGACAGCAAACAAACCAAGGGAATATACAGTAAACAGGAGGGCAGTGAGAGGGGTCGAGGAAGCGTGACTTTGGAGTTTAGGGGGTCTTTAATTATGCAATTTTAGAATGGGATAGTGGTAGTGTGAGGAGTAGTGAAGGACAAGTCTTCCAAGATAGTGTTGAGGAGAATTTCACATAGCATTATGTGTCCAGTCCAACAAAAAAAGGCACTGCTAGACCTAGTTCTGAAAAAGGGTCACTGGATTTGAAACAGTAACTCTGTTTTCTCTCCACCGATGGTGCCAGACCTGCTGCATTTCTCCAGCAATTTCCACTTTTGTTCCTGGTTCTTGGGAATGTGGTGGGCCAAGTAGAGCAAGTGTCAATGGGGGAACATGTAAGGGACAGTGACCATTGTACATTAAGGTTTAGAATGATGGAGGAAAATGACATTTGTCAATACAGCGTAAAAATAATCAACTGGTAGAGACTTGACTTCAATGGGGCAAGAACAGAGCTGTGCTGAGCAGACTGGAACCAATAGTTGGCAGGCAAAACAATAACTGAACAATGGGCTACCTTTCAAAGTGAAGATAGTTCATGTACAGTGAAGCTTTATAACTGAACAAGGTAGGACAAACAAATCCAGAGTTTCCTGGATGATTTAGGAGATGAAAAGTAAGTTAAAGAAGAAAACATGTGCTTATGACAGTGTTTGGTGTTTTGTATTTGGCTTGGTTTTTTTAAAAGGTTCAGAACAGATGAAATAGGAAATAGGGGAAGCAAAATGTGATTATGAAAAGAGATTGGCATCTAACGTATAAAGGAAAATCCCAAAGCCATCAGTACTAAAAGAATATTAGGAGGAGAAGTAGGGTTAATGAGGATCAGAAAGGGAATTTACACAGGCAAGAGACATGGTTGAGGTGTTAGATTACTTTGCATCCATCTTTAGCTATGAAGCAGATGTGCTTAGGCCACAATGACAGAGGGAAACTCCATCACAAGAGGGGTTCATAACTGATAAAGAAGAATTGGATAAGCTGCTGCTAATTAAAGTTGGTAACGCATCAGATGCATCCAAGTGCATTGAAGGAAGTGACAGTGGAAATTGCAGAGGCATTTGCAATGCACCTTCAATCTTCTCTGAATTCAGGGGTGCTACCTGAGGACTGGAGAATTGTAAATTTTACACTTTGTTCAAAAAAATGTGGAGAGAGACCCAGCAATTGCAGGCCACTCAGCTTAGTTTTGGTAATGGGGAAACTTCTGGAAATAATTACTTGTGAGAGAATTAATAGTCCCATGGTAAAATATGGGTGGATTTGGGTGAGACAACATAGATTTGTTAAGGGAAAGTTACATCTAACTTGCTGGACAACAAGGTGCAGAGCTGGATGAACACAGCGGGCTGAGCAGGAAGGCTGATGTTTCGGGCCTAGACCCTTCATCTAGGCCCAAGACGTCAGCCTTCCTGCTCCTATGATGCTGCTTAGCCTGCTGTGTTCATCCAGCTCTGCACCTTGTCTCGGATTCTCCAGCATCTACAGTTCCTACTATCTCTAACTTGCTGGAGTTTGTTGAAGGGATAATGAAAAGGTTGATGAGGGCAAGACTGTGATCTGGTGTATGTGTTCTTGCAAAAGGCATTTAATATTTTGAATGCTTTAATTTTAAAAATAAATTCTGATAGCAATTTATTAAGTTACCTCTTCATGATGATTTTCAGTGAAGGAAGTAATCTCACACCCGCACATCGCTACCCAGACTTCAGATTCAAGACGTATGCTCCATTAGCATTCCGCTATTTCAGAGAACTCTTTGATATAAAGCCAGATGATTATTTGGTGAGTTTCCTTTTGTAATGCTGCAATTCTACCTTTTTAAAAAAGTTCTGAGAGAAATGTCAAGTTTGTTGCTTGCTGTACAAGGCATTGTTCCAATGCACTTGGTGTTACGGTATGCTGGATTACTGCAATCTGGCCAATTAATCATAGGATATTATTGCCAAGGAAGGCTAGAAAGTTGAATCTACAATAACTTGCATAGAAACTTTTTGTAGTGAAACATTTGAAGGTGTCTCAAAGAACAAGTTATCAAACAGGATTTGACCCTGGGCCACGTGAGATGATAGGTGATCAAATGTTTAGTTGGACATAGATTTTAAAGAGGAAAGAGTTAAATAGGTGGAGAGGTTTTAGCGAGGGACTTCTAGAGCTTGCATCCAAGGTTGAAGGTACAAACATCAAGGATAGAATGATTAAAATTGACAGCACAGAAGAAGCCAAAATTAAAGAAGCACAGATATCTTGGAGAGTTGAAGGGCAGAAGGAGGTAACCGAGAAGGGGTGCAGGTCACTGAGAGATTTTGGAAACAAGGTTGAGAATTTCAAAATTGTGGTATACATTAAATTATTTTTAAAAATAGGATTAATGCTGGATTAAAACACTAGCTTATTTAAGGAAAAAACTCTTATGAATGGAATTGATAATTGTGATTTGGCTAAATTGTTCAGACATGCATCCAAATTTCACCAAAAAGTATAATAGAGTTGTGAATATATTTCCAGGGTAGACTAATGAAAGAGTACATAGATTTACAAGATTGTTGGATTCCTTTCAGGTAAAAGGAAGAAATAAGTTATGGTGAAAAGCTGAGTAGGTGAGTTACTATGCATAAGAGATGAACCTTTTGGGACTTGTTAATATTATTCTGGTCCCAAGAATGAAAGCTTTGGATATCACAGACTGGAATGAATACGCATACAGGTTTTTTCACATTTGCCCCTGAAAGTGGAGCTTGTCATAATAAAAGAGGTATGTGGCATGCAGTGTCCAGAGTTATTAAACAAACTGCTTCCTCTTGTATGCAGTTATTCCATCCTCACCAAAGGCTGAGCAAAAAACAGATAGAACTGCAGATGCTGGAAATCGAATAAAAACAAATTGCTGAGAAAACTCTGTAGGTCTAGCAGAATCTGTGGAGGGTCACTAGACTCAACATTAACTCTGCTTTCTCTGCACAGATCCTGTCAGACCTGCTGCGTTTTCCCAGCAATTTGTTTTTGTCTCACCAAAGGCTGCTTATATTTTCACAAGTGGGAATGAAAGGAATATAATTGCTTCATGCAGACAAGCCCAGACAAAATAATGATGTTTAATGCAGACATCATCAAACAGCTTATGGTAAGGAAGAGTGATCTTTGAATGGTGGCATACCACAAGCTCTGAATGATGAGTGTCTCTCCTCTCCCCTCCCCACCACCACCATTCCACCCCCCGCCCCCATTATTAACCTCCCACTAATGCCACCTCCCTCTGTGTCAGAGTTACTTTTAAGAGCTGAGTACTAAATAAAGACCAAAAGAACTGCGGATGCTGTAAATTGGGAACAAAAACAAAGTTGCTGGAAAAGCTGAGCTTTAAGAGCTCTTTGGATTTCTGCATTTAATGTAGCTCTCGATGCAAAAAATTAAGGCTCCTGCTTTGTGCTTGATTTGACTCTCGTTCACTCGATTTTCTTCTCTGTCCTTTTTAGTCCTTAAATCTTAATAATTAATAAGATTTGATGGTGGATCCGTATAATTTTCTGAAGTCCCAGATAGACTCTTATTCTCACCACACTGTTATTGGCTGTCACTCCCAGCAAGTCATAGTAAAACATGCTCTGGTCGAAAGTTGAGAGGAAAAAGTCTAACTGCACACTCCAGGGGATGCCCCACTCCAAGGTCAGGGCTCTGCCGAATACCTTGAAATTACTAGGACAGAGCAGGGAGCAGTCACTGTCCAAGTCTGAATGCTGTTTTATCCTTCTGTTCCACCAGCTTGAGTGGAATGAAAAGATCTCCTTTCAAAATCTAGTTAGCACAGGAAATTGATCACTATTAGCTTAGCTATTTTAAAAACTCCTTTTCTAATAATCAATTGTGTAATTGTTTATCAACTCTCTTGTTTTGAGCTTGCGTGCACGTTGCGGATTAATGTCTGTTCTGAAATGGGTTAGGATTGCATATAATTTAAATTCATTTTTTTTAGACAAGTTAATGTATACCATAAATGTCTGTGTAAACAGACTTATTACTTTTTGTTCAATTATGAAGGAAACGGCTGAGAACTGAGATGAAGTGTACTACCCTTAAAAAGACCTGGCACAGGCTTTATGGGCCAAATGACTTCCCTCTGTTGCAATCTGTGTAGACAACAACTTTTAATATTGGATTTTTTTTTAGAATCCTCCATACGTCCTGGAAAAAGCCTGTGATTTTTAACAAGCTTTATGGCATTATTGTATATTAATTCTAGTAAGGTTGTCTCAGATCAATTTAAATTAAAAATAATTATACTAGTTTTCTTTTTAAATTCTGTGCTTTGGTTAAGTCATAGCTGTGTGTTTAATCTGTCAACAGCATCACAGCCTTGTGAAGAAAAATTTAATTTCCGTTAGCAAAATGATATTGTAAGTAGTTTAGGAAAATAAGCATGTTAATTATTTTTTCAAAATCTGCCTTTCCCACCAGTATTCTTTATGCAATGAGCCGCTGATTGAACTTTCTAATCCTGGTGCTAGCGGGTCTTTATTTTATGTCACGAGTGACGATGAATTCATCATAAAGACTGTGCAACATAAAGAAGCAGAATTCTTACAGAAGCTGTTACCAGGCTATTATATGGTAAGACTTTAAATATTTCAGGAATCCTAAATTTTGAGCCATGAATGTGTTGGAGGCCACGTTAACAGGTCATTTAAAATTGTGCAATTGCATTAAAAATGGTGGATTGAAAGCTAAACAAATTCAGTCAAGCAAAGAATCTTCTAACACAAAAATATCACCCTATCAATGTTATGAACTCGACATTTGCAATGTCTGAAGAGGCAGTGGAAAGAGATTTGATACTAGCTTTCAAAAGGGAATTGGGCAAGTACTTGAAGGAGAAATGTTTGCAGGGATAAGGAAACAAAGGTTGGGGAATGGGATCAAGCAGGTAAACTTTCAAAAGAGCTAGCCTGGACCTGAGAGGTTGAAGGGCCTCCCTCTGTGCTGCACAATCCAATGAATAGACAGATTAATGTCATGAAACAGTCATGAGGTGGTTCACAGGATCATTAATGGGACAACTTTTGGACATAAGGTTATGTAACAAATAGCTTAGTCAATAGGGAGGTTTTAAGGTCAACCTTAAAGGAGAGAGAAGTAATGTGACGGTGGAATTTTTGGCTTGTGTTAGAAATGAGGCAGAATCGCGAGGGAAGTTCAGCAATGTTGATCTTGATGCCAGGAACAACTCACCTCCTCTATGACTGTGACATCTTTTAAATACTGGCTATCAAGGTAAGTTCTCTATTAAGGGGAATTATTGCTTATAATGAACTTACCTGTAGATCTGGC